TATGCCACAAGAATAATATTTATATCCTCTGTTATTCTAGCTCTTTAGGAGGTGAGTTGTGGTATTTCTTCATTCACTCCAGGGAATGAAAATGTGCTTCAAAATAACTTTGAATTGTTCATTATTTTATTTAAGCACAGAAAGACACAGTTTCATAATATTTTCCTGCTTCAGGAGAAAATTTCAAGTGTTTTATTACTTCAGGAGCAAATTAAAATACGAAATATTGAGTATATATTCCCTCAATCATATTACCTCTTCTAGAGGTGAATTGTAATATATTCACATCAAAAGCGCGTTTATATTTACTAGCTTTATTAATATTATCACATTCACTTCAGGAAATGGATTAATATTTATCAAAAGTTCTCATCCTTCAGGGAATGGAACATAATTATCTGAACGCGCATTAATTACACAAATTGTGTGATAAAGCTCTTTTACGATAATGCTACTTCAGGAGCAAATTGAGGCATGCATGTACTATAGAGAATATTTCTCTAGCTTATCTTCAATTGTAACCATAGAAAGCCTAAATTATTACTTTTGGTGGTCATAGGCATATACCACTTCTGGTGATTAACAAAATTTAGTTACAATGAGATATACAAAACATAATCATTTCTGGTGATTATATATTTCTTGCAAACTCTGCTGGAGTTTAAGTGGATCTAACAATGTTATCCACTTTATAATCATTTATTATGATAATACGGATAGAAACAAATACCAAAATAGGTAGTGTATACGTAGCATATAACCAAGCAAACGACGATAAAGATATTAAACCAAATATAAGCAAAAGGCTCAAATTACTTCACACAAATTTGGCCACTCCAGAAGTAAGTGATATCCACATCTCTATCGCCAAGAAGAAAAGTTCACCACCTCAAGGATATAATCTGCCTTATGATGTTCGGAATGAACCAGATCTACCACGGATGTAAGAGCGTCGCCATACATCGGAGATGAACACTGAAATAGAAATTAAATTTGAAGTAAGTGCTCAAAATGGCAGAGTCTCATGCTGATAACGTGTTATAAAATAAAGACTTTAAAGTAAAGAAATCAAAGACAAGTGTAGAGAGAGAGAGAGAGAGAGAGAGAGAGATATTTATTATTCAACTTCAAATTCATCTACATAATGAACTGAAATCTCTTCTATTTATAGAAGAAAGGAAGCTGATGTGTAAGCTGCTACTACAAGTTGTTGTGTAAGCTGCTACTACAAGTTGCTGTATAAGTTGTTACTGCAAGCTGCTGTGTAAGTTGCTATGATACCAGATATGGATAATCTTCTATTGAGAGTAATGTTTATCCATAACGGAGTACTGAAAGGATAAGCTCATTGTACCAGGTATAGATAATCTTCTATTGTGGGTAATATTTATCCATAACGAAGTACTGAAAGGATAAGCTCATGGTACCCGGTATGGATAATCTTCTACTGGTGGTAATATTTATTCATAACCGAGTATCGAAAGGATAAGCTTATTATACCCGGTATGAATAATCTTCTACCGGGTAATGTTTATCCATAACCGGGTACCGAAGTGATAAGCTTCTTCAGAAGGCTTATTTCCAATAGAGTACTAAAGAGATAAACATATTTACGGCGAATTCCCGTATGAATAAGCTTCTTCAGAAAGCTTATTTACAATGGAGTACTAAATGAACATCCATAATATAATATATTTATAACACATTACAAATATTCATTAGATTTATTGTCGAAGCGTTTTTCTGATCAATTCCGGCAATTAATATATTCCAGTCAATATAGCATATTCACTGCGATTCTCACACAAGTTTCAACTAGTCTGACTCATTAAATAATCGAGACAAATTATATCATAAGCAAAATGCATTGACTTTGGACAATTTCTTGTTATTTGAGGCGCCAAGATGCTGTTAGCTATTCGCATATTCTTTTGGAAGTCTCTATTACGATAACGTCCCGACATTTAATAAAAAGGTTTTTTTTTAACATTTAATTAATAAAAAGGTTCAACAACCAATTATTAGATGTTCTGAACAAAGTAAGTATTTACCTTTTCTTTTTTCTTTAAAGGGGTTACGTTAAATTACATGTATAACAACTTAATCTAAAGTAGTTGAGGTTTATCTATTTTAGATGATTTATTATAATCTACACTATTTTTATGCTACTGTTAAGCTATTCTTACCCTCCTTCTATTCGAGCTTAGATCATCTATTTTCTTTCAATAAGGACCATTCAGACGTTACTGTATCACGAATGGTCTCCCTCTGTAATAATGTTTTTGTTTAATTATTAATATAATCGTATATATTAAAAAAATAAAAGGTCACTTTTTAACTATTAATATAATCTTATATATAAATAAAATAAAACACTTTTTTCATAATTTAAATTGTTTTTTTTTTTTGAGAAATTATAGTAATTTAACTTGAAAAATAATGACATCATTAACAGCCAGCTCATGAAATAGATTATCTTATGTGGGACTTATAAATCCGAGAGTGCTAAGTAAATGAGAGGTTCAATTTTAAGGTAAATTCACAAATGATCACCTAATTATACTTTCTTTCTTTTTTGCATCAAAGTCATCATAATTGGTGACACACTTATACGTTGTTTGGCCAAGCTCACCTTATTTTTCTCAAAAGATTTTACGCTATTAAGAGATTCTTACATGTTATGTGTAGCTTCCCAATATTTTCAGCTACTAATGTATGATTTTATTCGCACGCCAAAAAGTAAACTTCCGATGGACGTAAATATTTTTTTTGCTCTAAGTGTCACATCCCACATTGTTTCACTTTTTTAAAAACAAATGACCTTTGGGGAAACCAAAATTGCTCACTTACATCATTAATTTATTTTTATAAAAATGTCTCATTTGGTAGTAGCCTTTTCCTACACTTGTCTGTCTGAGTTTTTTCAAACAGAAATTTTTTGGAAGCAAATAACAAAGGACAAGACAAAGTGGGATCATCATCTTGATTTCATTAATTTGTAGTCGATAAAAACAATGAATGGGAAAAATGGCAACAATTTGGTCAATGAAATTGAAGAATTAGAAGAAGAGGAGAAATATTATTATTCAACAAGTGATTTATTTGAAATAGATCATGGAGGTGAAGTGGAAGGGAGTTTATTTTCCTTTGACTTTAATAATAAAGGAGATCATGATATTGTTTATGTTGTTGTTGGGAATAATAATGCTGCTAATACAAACAAGATTAGCCTGGAATCAAGTATTGATGCATTGTTTTGGACTCTCAAACATGGTGTAATCAATCCAAATTCTGCCATTGTTTTCCTCATTCATATCTTTCCTCAAACCAAGCTCATCCCTACTCCTTGTAAGCTCTCTCTCTCTCTCTCTCCTTGCTAAAGTCAAGGTTATAAATGGCCTCAAAATATAAGAGAGGGTAAAATTAAAATATTTCGTTTAATAGAGGAATATTTTCTATTTCCTTTTTTACAAAAAGAAAAATTATTTGAATTTAGATTTAATTTAGTTTATTGTGCTCTGTAAACTCTCAAAATCTGATAAATGTTTAATGATATGGTGATATAACAGTGGGAATGATTCCAATAGACCAAGTGAATGAAGTGCAGCAAGAAAGCTATATGGCTCAAGAAAGAAGCAAGAGAAGGCAGTTTCTCCAAAAGTTTGTTGACATCTGCTCTGCTTCCAAGGTGCACAAATAAACTGCACATAATTTTTTATATTTGCCTATAGCATGTTAGCAACTTGCAGAAACAACAGTGAGGCGCCGCATAGCTCAAGGGTGATCAGTTGAACATCCTTTGCCGCAAAATTATAACAATAACGTAGTGGTATTTTCACAAGTGGGGTCTGGAAAAGGGACGATGTATGCAACCTTAATCCTAACCCGACCCTGGAAGAGAGACTATTTCCGATACCCTTACTTTCCACAAAATTATACTGTATATATAGGTCAGATATTACTTTATGACATGTATGCCACTTTCAACAGGTTAAAGTGGACACTTTACTAATTGAGAGTGACATAGAAGCCAAAGCTATACTGGACCTCATTCCCATCTGCAACATAAGAAAGCTGGTTCTTGGTACTTCTAAAGCCAATCTCAAGTATGAACAAAATTCACTTAACTTATACTCCACTGCACTCCAGTTTTAAGCTGCTTTCCATTTCTCATCTTCCTAATAATGTTCTTGCATTCATCTGATAGGAAAATGAGATCTAGAAGAGGTAACGGAACGACTGATCAGATATTACAAAATGCACCAGAATTCTGTGAGGTTAAGATCATATGTGAAGGCAAGGAAGTTGTAGAGCTACAGATGTTTGAATCTCCTTCTCTCCGGAACTCCAATGGCAGTGCAACGTCCATTGAAGGCCACATCCAGATTCAGAATCAAGAAGTCAAGAATGAATCCATTGGATGTGGAGGATGTTTTGGAGCCAAGGTCATGTCTTAGATTTATAGTTCATAGTATCCTACCAAAGACTTGAAATATGTAAATATCTATCACCAAACAACTGGTTTTCACAAGCATCTCCCTTCTTTATCATACCATAAATTACATGTTACTATTAACAGTTACTGTACATTCAGGAAGTAATACACCAATGTATCATTTACAAAGTACATCTTTATTTTCCCCATTTTTCACTTCTTCCTGCTAAGATCCTAATAAACAATGGCTGCTTTTGTAGACATTGCAAAAGTGGCTGATTTCCTAACCCCAATGAAAAGGGAAGCCCGGTGCACTCAGCTCCCGTTATGCGCGGGGTCCGAGGAAAGGCCGAATCACAAGGGTATATTGTACACAGCTTTACCCTGCAGAAATGCAAAAGGCTGTTTCCACGGCTCGAACCCGTGACCTTGACCTCCTGGTCGCATAGCAGCAATTTTACCAATTACGCTAAGCTCCCTTTCATTTCCTAATCCCGTGGATAGGGAATAATGTGGCTAAAGATATACTGATATTGTTGCCTGATATTTAAGGAATGACAAGGAAAAGCAAAAAAGAGAACTCCCTCCTTTTCTTCTAAATAAGCCAAAAAGCAAATAGTACACAGAAGAAAGTAAAAGATAGCAAATTCACTGTGGTCTAAATGTCTAGAAATACACCAACATCCAAAAGTATGGTTGTCGCATAACTTAAGATTGAATCTAAACTTTCTCACACTATACTGTACCTTTGGGTTGGAATACAAATTCTAGCTAGTATCCAAAAGCAATATACAATCGTCTTGCTTGACTATGGTCATGTGGCCAAAAACAGTTTCCTGTTCATGGCATGCCATATCACCTAAGCCACGCGCTGAATTTGAGTAATCCAATTGCATACCTCTAAAACTCCTTATACTGGAATACACTCACCTTTTACCGTTTGGACACCCTTGTAAATACGGAGACTGAAAATGGCTGGCAGCTCTAGCTTGAAGCATGTAGGGATTCACAGATAATAAGGTCTGACACTGTTATGGATAGTAACGACGGGACCCTGCTCATATACCATTTTGATAAGAAGAACCAGCCATCCTGATCACTAGCAATCCCTGAATTCAGGATTTGTTCTCCACCAATTCAGAAAAATTACCAGTCACGCTAATATTTACTAGAAGAAATCAAATTCGAGGTAGTTATCAGAACCCTTTTGGCTGGGAGGAACTGCGGCAAGAGCAGTCTTTTGATTTGTAGATGCTGCTGGAATTGGTAGTCTCTCAAATTCAACAGGTTTGGGGACATCGGGAGGGGTAGCACAGCGTATTAGTGCCCAGTTAACCCCTTCGAAGAAAGGGTGTTGTTTTATCTCAGTTGCCCCTCTTTTGTATGCTAATCTGTTCTGTGGTTCTTTTATGAGTAAACCCCTAATCAGATCCCTTGCCGCAAAACTAACAACTGGTGATTCTGGAAATCTAAGAGGTTGCCCCACTACATTGAACAGTGTAGCTCGGTTACCAGATCCTTTAAATGGAGTTTTACCAAACAAGAGCTCATAGAGAAAGATCCCAAAAGTCCACCAATCCACTGCACTTCCATGACCTTCACCTTTGATAATCTCCGGTGCCAAGTATTCATGAGTTCCCACAAATGACATAGAGCGAGCGGCAGTAGGTTCTGCCATAAGTTCTGGTAATGGCCTAACTTGGTTGCCGGTATCATTTTTGGGTTTCCGATCCTTCTTGGACTTACTGGAAAAGAGGCGACGAGAGAAGCATGTTGTAGGAACAACACATGATGGTTGAATGCAGGAAGGTTCAATGCAAGCCGGCTGGACACAGTAACCAGAGTTCTTCCTCAGAGGATCCGACTCCAGGGATGATGTCTTGACCAGCGTTGGGCTAAAAGCACAACAAAGCGATAGGTCAAAGTCCGAGAGCATTATATGTCCATCTTCTCTAACAAGGACGTTTTCTGGCTTAAGGTCGCGGTAGATAATCCCAAGCATATGGAGATACTCTAGAGCTAGAAGGACCTCAGCAACATAAAATCTGAAAATGGAAAAAGTTAACATTCAGTAACATAGACCGTGTCAATAAAACGCTTGATATAGCAAAGAGTATTCTCTTTGCACAGGAAGCAATAGCCTGTATTTCTTAGCTAAACTATTATTCTAGTAGAACCAAAGGACAATTTTGTTTGCTGGAGAGAAAATTAAAATTTCATTTGTAATCTCTAAAATGAATCCTTGGAATATGAGCAAGAATCCAAACTCCCTAAAGGAGAAAGAAGGAAAGGAAATTTGGTAACTTGGTGGCGAGACAAAAAAACAATTGAAAAGTCTGAACATGAAAAACAAATGGCATCACGTGCAATGGACTTATTACTCAACAAAGGTAAATTGACAACCAAGACTTTCTCAAAACTGCAAAAGATTCTCCTAGAACCTTGGTAAGGGAAAGCGGGTAGTTATTTCCTCTAAGCTTCCAACAAAATTTAAAGGCACTTGTGCATTATGTCACTCGTACAGCATCATAAGGCTCAAAGTGCACTTGACTACATAAATATACCTGCTCCAAATACCAGTAGAGTATATCCTAGGAACTGAAAGAAGAAACTGTTAACTTATTGCCTAAACTTCAGGGTATAATTCAAAAACTGTGAAAGCGACATCTGGAGATAACAAATTAGAGGAACTTTCACATAAGAGCAACAACTAAACTACTTTGTTGAAACAGCCTTCTTCAATGATGGATCTACGACTGGAATTTCTAGAATAATGTTACTCAAAAATAGTAAAACAATATGGAAATCAGAAAGTAGTAGTAGGAAAAATCGTATCACCAAAAAACTGAAAATAGGTCATACTTCACTGCTTGTTCAGAAAAATGTTTCCCCGACTGTCTCTGCCTAAGACTATGTAGATCCCCTCCGGGGCAGAATTCCATGACCAAACACGAAAACTTGTCAGTCTCAAAGTGGCTGTAGAGAGACGGAAGAAAAGGATGGTCGAGGGATTGTAAAATTTCTCTTTCTGTCTGAGCACGAAGAAGCTTCTTGCGGCCGGCTAGAGATGCTTTATCCATGACTTTCATAGCAAAGTAACACTTGGTTCCACTCAGTTCAGCCAAGTAAACACTCCCAATATCTCCACAACCCAACCTTTTCAGTAGTCTGAAATGGCTCAAACCTAAGCTACCATCTTTAGATCGGACAGCTTGGATAGCTTCCCATCTCAAGTCATTTGTTTTGTGGGGTTTGTTTATACTGCTGCTAAAACTGCTGAAGCTGCTTTCGTCACTCACATCAGTGCTGGTGCTTCCTCTGCACATGCTGCTCTTTCCACTCTCAACCAAATCAGCACGATCACTAGTTTTGGCTAGACTACTTGTACCATCGCTGACTTTAGCAGAAACTGAACTGTTCTTTCCACTAGTTTGCTCAGATGTTTTCTTTTCTTGATCCGTAGAAGATTCAAGTGAGCTTCTAGTTCCATTTGCTTCATGTCGCGCAGGTGTCAACACATTCTGAATATCAGTGGGAGCATCTTTAGATTTATCAATTGACAGATCATTGGACCCTTTTGGACTATAGTTAGCTGACTTTTTATCATTCAGGGCCCCATCTACATCATGTGTTGTAATCTTACCAGATTCCGGCAATTTATCAGAAAGAGCAAGGCTAAGTTCATTCATTTTTGACACCTGTGTAAGAAATGACCTAGAATCATTTGTTTCTTCTGTTTGTCGAGCCGAAACAGCTTTTTGTTTTGGTTCAATGGAAGCTCTAGCACCAAAGTTTGAAGCCATCAGTTACAGAATGATACAGAAGAATAAGTTACCAACTACGACACCGTTCTCTGTCAGCCATTCTAATCGCCATTATCCTGCAAACCGGACGAAAAAATTACCATTAAAAAGAGAACTACATAGTCTAAAAATTGGTTCAGATTAAGTCTCTTAGGTATTACTTCTGAAAGAAAATGCATTTGCACTTATCAAAAAGGGGAAAACAGTGGTTTCCTTTTGTTTCCCACCCGGTGTCCGATACCCAATTTGGGGCTCGACTAATCCGGATTTGCACCGAAAAGACCCATTTTGAAGGGTAAACAGTATTTTCCAACAAATTATGTTTATTGGGGTGGTTAAAGTATTCCTTCATGTGTAATCAGAGGTATCGGGTTCGAGCCAACAGAATTTGTTGGACAGAACTGATCAGCTAAGTACTAGATCAGCTCCAAATCAGGAAATCAACTAAAGATCTCTCAAGCACATTTGCATGCAGAACCTTATACTATTTATAAAGGATATAAATGGAAAGCTACGAGATACAGAAAATGAACAATCAGAACCAGATAGCCAATTCTACTTGACCATAAATGGAAAGCAGAAAATCCAATAAAAAACAGAAAAATATATATTTAACAAGAAACTAAGTAAACTTGCCACATAAAAAGTAAATCAAGTCAGCAACCCATAAATTAACAGAAGACAGTGGATTCATTATAATTTAACAAATCTGTGAACATGATTAAGGGTAAATTAGATAAAAATCAGATCTTGATCAAGATTAAAACTTTCAGCACATCCCCAAATCAGATCCTTAAGAAAAAAAAAATAACCCCAGGTGAAAAAACTGAATCTTGACATGTAAAATGGGTAAATTGCAACAACAAGATAAGTACCTGAATAATTACAATATACCCTTTAAACCCAAGTTGAAGACTTAGCTTTAACTGTGAAAGAATAATAGAGTGTAGAGGAAAGAATGGTCTTTGTAGCTTCCTCCAGTTTAGGACTGTAGCAGCAGCTCGAGAGAGAGAGAGAGAGAGAGACGCTTTGGACTATTAGGAGAAAATGAGGAAGAGGGGTCAAACAAATGCTAAAGCAAAAAACACTTTTTTCTTTGATGAAGGGACTTATTTAATTAAAAAGGTCTAAATTTATTTATATACTATAATTAATCTTTTCCTCCATTTCACTTTTGGTCTATTTTTTTTAATAACTGTAGTGTCCCAAAGGCGGATCCAGGATTTATATCCTATGGGTTCAATTTTAAGGTTTTTAGTATTTAACTCATTATATTTTTAAAGTTATGGGTTCAAATCTACTTTTTTGTAATTATATTAAATTTTTACTCCGCGTCGAAAGTTATGGGTTCAATTGAACCCGTAGATACAACACTGCATCCGCCCCTGTAGTGTCGGATCAGCTTGCGTACACCAACAACAACAATTACAATCGGTTGAATCTCACAAGTAGGATCTAGAGAAGGTATTGTATATTTAGGCCATGTTCCTACCCTGGAAAGGTAGAAAAGTTATTTCCGAAAATTTTTCGGCTCAAGAAAGAGAAAAGAAACAATAGAAACAAGTAATATCAACAAATAGGCTAGAAACCATCTTGTGTGCACCACCACTAATAAATCACCTAGCGTTTTATCTCTGCTAGAATTTGAACATGAGACTTCGTAGTTTGCAGTCTATTCATATTGACCACCAGGTCACGTCCTTGCCCGCCATATTTGATTTATTGATATCTTAGATCTCCTCATATTTTCTTCTATTATTAATGGAACTCCAATATAAGATTGTGATTCAAATTCTGAAAAATTAAGGTTTAAGTTTATATTAATTTTTAATTATGATTTAAAATTACCCTTGAATTCGAGTTTCATTAGGTGTCAAGGGAAAAAAAATATTTGCTGACTATAATATTTAATCATAATTCTAACAAATGATAAAATCGCAAAATTTTCTGATATAATTTTTATTATTTTTCATTTAATATTTAGTAATTTAGGGAAGAAAAGAAAAAAAAATTATTTGGGTTGTTGTGTAGGAGTGAGCGTGTGATTCAATATTTTCATTTATTCTTTTGTAAAATGGGTCCAAACTCCAAAATCCAAAAATCAGTCTTCCTGCTGTCTGCCATGCCATTGCCAATCAATCTGGCCATCAACAGATAGTAAAATGACGCATTTATCCTATTTGTTGGTACCAATCTTTAATGTGCTCTAAATATACATTTTTTATACTTGATGGTTAAATAAAAATAAACAGATAAGGAATATGGTGAAATAATTTATAACTTTTACCTTTTAATTAGAGATTTCGAATTCGAGTCTCTCTCGATTTAATTGAACCAATTGATTTCGTATTTAAAAAAATAGAGATATTTATGTGCTCGGTTGAAAACTTAAGGGGCCAAAGTATATGAAATCATATAGCTGAGGACTAAGTTATGATTCTTTTTTCACTAAAAAAATTGTTTTTCGAGTAATCCTATTTGCATTACTCATAAGCAAATTATACACATCGACTCGGGCGATTTCGAAATATTTGGTTTTAATTTTTATCGGTCATTTTGGATTTATGCAGTTTTTTTTTTTACTTTGGAAACGGATATTCCCGGTAGATTCATAGGTAAGTATTTTTATTTTATATATTTTTTGATAAGGCAGGATATTTGTCGTTATTAGTATTCCTTCCGTCCCATTTTAATTATCGTTTTAGCTCTAGAAAATTGTTTCAAAATAATTGTCACTTTAAAAATTCAGACTAAATTTGTTAATTATTTTCAACTATATCCTTAATAATAAAGAAGTTATAGTACTTTCTAATACTCTCTCCCTTTCACTTTAATTGATTTTTTGTGGTCCATAATATTTGATATTTTTAGATATCAAGAACGAAATGACTTCGCCCTTTAAGTGACAAGGGGGTGAGCCGCTCCAAGCGAAAAGCCATAGTGAATCCTAAACTTGCTCACACTCATCCAAACTAGTCGTAATGCCCTGGAGCCTAGCTACCGACCTGAGGCGCCGACCGTGAAAGCCATAAAGGGACGTTAAACATAATTCTAGAAGGGCCTTCCCGTAAAAATTAAAAAAAAAAATAGTAAGTGAAAGTTTTTTAGACTAGTCCCACTAAGATAGCGAGGAAACTGACTTTCGAGAGAGCTGCTTTCACCTCGGTAATTACCTAACGGGAGAGAACCGATGCAAATGTAATCCACTTCTTTTTTTCAGAGTTGCTCTTAAAATAAAGAACATAAGAGCATTTGTTATATTTTCAATGAACATAAGAACATAATTAGGGCTAAAAGATCAATTCTTTAATATGTGGCGAAACACCAAAAAATCTATTAAAATGAATTGAAGGGAGCACACTTAATGACTGTAAAAAAACTAAAGCGGTAGTTAAAATAGAACGGACATAGTAAAAAAAAGGAGTAAATTATTCAGCCTTGAAAACTGCAGGGATCTTTTCTGGAAAATAGATTTTTTTTTAAAAACTATATTTAAATTTAGCACTGCCTCCAACGTTGGTCCTTGGATAGTTGTGCTGGAAATGGCGTTTGGTGTTAATATATAACACCTCACTCTTCTTTTCATGGTGTCCTTTCCTTATTTTTTATTTTTAGGTTTAATAGAGGAATATTTATTGTTTAAAAGTTTCTAAGTTATGTTCTAATGGACACCTTTTAAAACAAAAGGTCAGAATTTACATAGAAAGATTTTTTTTTTATTTATAATTCGAATATTGATGGTGTTTAGAATATTGATTTATTTTGTTGTCATGTCAAGTTATATATTGTATCTTTGTGAGAAATTGTCAGCTTGGTGTTTAATAGGTATAATTTGACTTGATTTCATGCGTTCAATAGATATTATCCTTAGTTCAAATATTTAAGTGAAATTTCGTGACAAATTAAGAGATTGGCTATATATTCTGATAAATAAGAAACTAATATATGAGTTGAACTATAACAGACAACTCAACAAGAATTGAATTTGTATGATTTAAATATTATATGTATGCCATATTATATGTCTATTAAAATCTTTGCGTAGTTTCGAAGAAAGATATTTGATTACCTAACTATAACAATATTTGTATAGATTATCATTTAATTATCACTTTTTAAACATCTTATTTAATTAACATTCTACAATTAATTAAAACAACAAGGGTAAATTCAGTGAGAGAAAAAAATAACTAACTTTTTGTTTTTAAATAAGTAAGTAAAAGAGTTCTTTGGCTGAGGTGGGGTTTCTTGTTTTCAGCTATTTTGCTATAGCTGAATTTCTGGTAAATGTCACAAATGCAGTCGACATTGCAATTATGAAATGTCTGGTTTTGGTTTGTTATATTATTATTATCCTTGAATTTTCTCAAATGTATGTAAACAGATTGGACACGTTCTTAAAGACTGCGTGATGTGTTAGGCTATATAATTACGTTGTGAATATTACGTTATAGGTCTTAATCAAAACAATACGTGGTCCTTTAATTTGTACAATTATATTTCAGTAGAATTTTCCAGTGGCATTTCTTTGATTTTTTACTGATTAATTCTTGTCGCGTCATCTTTGTACTAGGGTGTGTTCGGTATAACATGTCATATTTCAGAAAGAAAGAAAAAATTGATTGATTTTAAGTGTTTGGTTATCACAAGGAAGATTCATTCCATCATAATGTAGATAGATTTCCTTCTCCAATAGGCGGAAAAAGACAAGACTACCTATAAAAGTGAAATTATTTACCCTCTCCTACCCATTAAAGAATTTTACCCACTAAATAATTACAACTCCTACCCATTTAATAAATAAACGACAATAACAAAATAACTACCCATGCTTTTAATGCTCTACGTATAAAAACGCAGAAGCTGCTCAAAATTTAAGAAAATTAGCGCACAAACGTGGAAAAACGCAGAAGCTCTTCAAAATTTCAGAAAATTAGCGCACAAAATTGAGATTTCCACTTATCGAAGAGCAGTAAGTGTGAAAAAACAGATCGAAGATGTTGATTCGGATTTTAATTTCGCTGTTCTCTTCAGATTTTGATTTTGATTTCGGAGCTAAACTTCTGAATTTTAGCTGAAAATTCTAATCTGGGTTTGGAGATCTGGAGATCTAGAGGTTTGATTTCGCTGTTGTTTTGTTGAAATTTCGAACACTGTTGATTTCGAACACTGTTGAAATTTGCATTGTTGAGATTTAATTTTGGACATAAAAGTGATTATAACTTTAGAATCATGGAAAATATTCCAATTATGTTGCAACATAGTGGAGAATGGGATGATAACAATAATTTCATAAATTTTCATGTTGATGCAATTCTAATAAAGACCTATTGGAAATTTGAACAACTTCTCAGAGAAATTGTAAAGCAACTGCAAAAGGACAGTAAAACAATAGTTATTCAGTATATTATTGCTCAAGGATATCCACCAATTACAATTTGCAGCGATATGAGTGTTAGTGTTTATATGGAATTGAAAAAATCAAGTGCAGGGATGACAACACTTCCCTTGTGTATGTCGTTTGCTAAAAACACTATAGCTGCAAGCACCTCCAGTTTCGATGTTGCTCCAATTTCACCAGAAATTGCACAATTTGAAAGCACTGATATGATTACTACGTTTGATGTGCAAGAAGGAGATGACGCCATTTTAGAACTTGATGATGCAAACATCATAACTGATCAATTTCATCAAAATGTTGAAAAAGGACAAATTTACGAAGACAAGAACCTGCTGGCTCTCGTTATGAAACAGTATGCTGTTAGAGAAAAATGTCAATATCGGGTTCATAAATCATGCCCAAGAAGGTTCGTCTGCATGTTTTCAAGTAAAAAATCAGTGATGCTGGTATAGTATATAAGTATGCTAAATCAGTATACTATGAGAGTATGGAATTGTATTGGTTTGTCTGTGTTTTTTATCAGTGATGCTGGTATAGTATATAAGTATGCTATATCAGTATACTATGCGAGTATATAACTGTATTCGTTTGTCTTTGTTATTATCAGTAAAACATAATACCAATATAGTATATATATATATAATAAATCAGTATACTATGTGAGTATAGAATTGTGCTGCTTTG